TGACGTTGACCGCAACTACCCGAACACAGCCATCGTGCCCACTGCCCCTAAGTGAGACACTACCTCTATGAATCTAATAAAAAAAAACAAAAAAAAGAAAACAATGAATTTACAATCACTAAGGGCACCTGTATTTGCACGTTCCAAGTTGAAAAGAAAGTGATATCCAGAAAGTTTCAAAAATGAAGCAAAACAAACAAGAAGAAAACCTTCAAGTGATCAAGGATGAAGGTGTTCAACAAATGAAACGATAATTACAAGAGCCTCCAAAATTAACTAATTACAACCAACTATGCAAGAAAGACAATGTTTAAGGAACTACTAGAACTAGTACTACTCAGGTGCATCGTCGATACCTCCAGCAGTTATGGCAAACGTGGCTTCTGCTTCAGGTAAACTGGGACTCTGATGGACTTTGCATATTCGGGTTTCACCACGTCCTTTTCGCAGTCCCAGCCTGAATTTGGAAAAACTGGTAAAGTAATCAAAAATTCAATCAAGAATGAATCTTTCGCCATTGAACAATCTCTTTTCGGGATGAGGTACGCATTTTACTTCTATTCAGTATTGTAATGGCCTGTTGAAGGCGATGTGATCTATACAATGGAGTGCATGAGTCAGGTGATGTATAGTTCAGTGTTCCTATCCCCTCCAACTAATCTGATACCAATGTACTGTCGAACGAGGGTAGAAGGTCCTTTTATTTGACCCTCGGAGTGCCTAATGAACCTGCCCCTTGTCACTCTACACGACCTCCAGCTAAGAAGGTTGAACCTACCAAAAAAATTGTTTACGCCTAAGGTTGCGCACATAATTTACGCTGGAAAAGTAAGAAGCAAACAACAATAGTTCAGAATTCGTCGCAATTCACTAGGCGGGGCACTAGATGGTACCCGGCCACGCTTTTACAGGCCATATTGTGAAGACCTGGAATTCCTGTAAGGAAAGGGCGAACCGAACTGAGACCTGTTACTTAACATGATCTAACAAAAGGAAGTAGCGATAGTGAAAAATACTCCCTCCAGCCGATCAGCGCTCAGAACTTTTGGCGTAGCTATTCAAGGTAATGGCGCAAATCTAGTGTGCGTTCCGTACTACAGTTGCGGATAACATTGCAGCTGCTCACTTCACACTAATGGAACAACTTCGCTTATTTCAATCTTGACCTACTGTTGACAAATCCGGTCCAAATGGTTCGGTCTCTTCCGTACCAAAAAACCGATTGTACCCTAATCTATAACCGAATTAATGAATTTCGTGGGAAGCACCAAACCCCTTGCTAATATTGGTCCACTTTGTCCTCCACCTCTGACTGCTCCTAAGCCGAAATGTAAATTTTTTAGACACTGCTAACTTCCGGCGCACTTCCCGCCCACTGTGGGCAGGGCCTAGCACGGGTTACGTGTGCTCTTCTCTTCCTTTC